TATAATAATCCAAAAATTATAAATGATATTCCAAGATGTATGAATATTAAATGTCTAATTATAGATTGTAATATTAAATGTCTAATTGTATTAATTAAATGTCTAATTGTAAGATTAAATGTCAAATTGTAAATTGTAATATTAAATTAAATGTCTAATTGTATTAANTAAGATTAAATGTCAAATTGTAAATTGTAATATTAAATTAAATGTCTAATTGTATTAATTAAATGTCTAATTGTATTAATTAAATGTCTAATTGTATTAATTAAATGTTTTAATTGTATTTTTTTTTTTTCTTTGTAAAGGCATGATCATATTTATTGATAATTATGTTAAATATATTTACAAAAGTAAAATAAAATAAAGTATTCTAAATTAATTTTAAATATTATCAATATACTGTCCCTCCCAAAGGAAAAGACTGACCTGTTGAGATCAAAGGTGACTTGTCATAATAAATCTAAAAATTTGACCAATGACCTCCCTTATCAAACACTAAGCTATTCCATAACTCCCAAGTCCCAACATAAACTTACTATTTTATCTAATTTATTGACCACAAATTTAGATTTGTTGGCCAACTTTTTCATCTTTGCATTAATTCCTTTCTGATGTTCTAAATCAGCTAATTTAACATTCCTATACTCCCATATAAAAACTTTGAAATCAAAAATTAATTTGTTAACCAAACCATCTAATAACCTTATTCTGTCTTTATCTATTATTTTGTAACTCTTAAATAAATTAAGGGCATGCCAGAAATCAGCTGATTTCTCTCAATTAGTAGCCTTAACCCTCCACCCCTACCTGATTGAAATCTGATTGGCTAAAAAAATTATTACTATTAAATATTAAATATTATACATAATAATTAGCATTATATAATTATTTTGGCTTCTAGTGATTCAATTTGAATAAACTTTTTTTTTGTTTTGTAAAGCTAGATCTATAAAACTAAATGAGAGCTATAAATTAAAAAAAAAGTTTATTAAAATAATTAAATTAGGGAGCTTACTCAGCTTACACATATTATGTAATTATCAAAGGGGGGGAGGGGGTAACCAAAATCTTACGTTACACAGCACTTAATAAAATATATAATAAATATTATAATTTGATTGGTTATTAAATCTGACAAGAGGGGGGGAGGGAGTAAGTTTATATTAAACTGAATATTACGTAATATATATAACTTCCCTTACTTACATTTATATTTAGATATATAAATGTCACGTGATATATATAGACCTGATCTGAAGCTTGACTCCTCCCACCCCCTTTCAAATCAGTTGATTTCTGGCACGTCCCTAACCAAATCTATATGCACAAAGCCTTTTGCTAATATAGACAAATTATATGTTTTATTAAAGTCCTAAATTCTACAGAGCAAAATTTTTTTAAGAATATTTTTAGAATTTAAATTTTCTTCTTAACTATTCGCTAATATTAAATCTTGTATATATTGTTGTAATTTACCTATCATGTTTTGGTTTACTTGTTCTAATGTTCACACTTTTATAAGTATGAATATATTTCATCATCTTTTAAATACATAGAACATTTCCATTTAGAACTATAAACATGTAGTTTTCTTTTAATTAAGTTATCAAGTATTGGTAATTCCTTTGTCCGAATTTTGACTTTAAATAAATTTAATTCATATTCTGAAAAATTTGTTAATTCTATATTGCCTTTAAACACTTTAAACGTATATGGCCATTTTATCTCTGCAAGCATCTCAGAATTATTCCAACATTTAATGTTTAATTGTATTAATTAAATGTTTAATTGTATTATTAAATGACTAATTATAATATTAAATGTCTGTAATATTAAATGTTAATTAAATATATAATTGTATTTGTCTAATTGTAAATATCTAATTGGATTAATTAAATATCTAATTGTATTAATTAAATATCTAATTGTATTATTAAATGACTAATTAAAATATTAGATATCTAATTGTAAATTGTAATATTAAATGTCTAATTGTATTAATTAAATGTTAAATTGTTAAATTGTAATATTAAATGTTAATTAAATATATAATAATATTAAATGTTTAATTGTATTAATTAAATATCTAATTGTATTATTAAATGACTAATTAAAATATTAGATGTCTAATTGTAAATTGTAATATTAAATGTCTAATTATATTAATTAAATGTATAATTGTCCTTTTAATAATTTTTTTTTTAGAAATTGTAGAATCCATATCAATACTTTATTATAAAAAAATCTTTTCAATATACTGTATATATTCTAAGTAATTCAAAAAAATATAAATAATAATAATTGAACTAGTAATAACTAAAAATAAATTATTAATTAACTTATATTACCAATTGCAAATTTTATAATTAATTCATAAATATATATAGAAAATAATTCTAAATCCCTATAAAAAAAAGTTCATATAATTTTTATTCAAAAAATATCTAATTTTATTTACTATAATTTCTGTGCAAAATCTGTACAAATTCTCTATATAGTAATACTAGTATGATTTATATATAATTTATAGAACCCCAGATATCACATATATAACTCATATTTAAGTTTTAGCAAATTCAATTAAAATTAGGTTAAACAGGACCCGCTTACTTCTAATAGAGGTCACCATAAAATTTTTAAGATTTATATATAAATTATACATGCTGCCCAAATTATTTTGGGATGCCATAATTATAATTTGGGATGCCATAATTCATTCGGTTTATATATAATTTACTATATAAAGTGCCAAAATAATTTGGGATGCCATAATTGAATTTGGGATTTTACTTATAATTACAGCAGTCCAAAATAATTTGGGTGGCATGTACAGTATAATATAAATTTACCTTACTCCAAATTTTCCTTTTACTAAGTAATTCTACCAGCTTTCCAGTTACATTTTTAAATCATATATATTTTTACCTTACAAGTTCAGTAACATTTATAATTATAGATTATATAAAACATAATTTATTTTATACATTTAGTACTTTTTATTTCTTTTAAAATTGGCCTAATTTTTAGATATAATTATTTTAAAAAAATGTAAAAAAGTTCCTATTTAAAATAAGTTTAAAATTGATCAATAGTTATAGATATGGTGCATATCACCTAAACTCATCAATAGTCCGAATTTTTATTTTATGATGATCATTACTAAATTAGGATTTATTACTTCTAAATAAGGCAATAGTCTAACTTTATTTAGTAATTAAAATTTTGATCACAATTTATTATAACAAATAAATCAATATAATTGGTTATAATCAATATCACATGATAGAATAATTCCGAAATTTTCTCATTTATATAT